AGGGGAGCTTAAAAATCCTTTCAGTCTACTAGGTTATACTTGTCTTCAGCCATCATGGATCTGATCAGAATGAAGTTGCAGTCAATGGCTTGCCATGAAAAGATAAGAACAGCAGCCAAGAGGAACCAAATCACATCCCTGAAAAACAAACCTCAATTGCAGAACAAATGCCTGAACACCCGAACACCAGATGAATGCAAAAATAAAAGTAATTATAATGACTGACAAAATACCATGCTGGCTCCCATTAGTACCAGAACCAAAAAAAGGGGAGTTCATGCACTGAGTTCTGGAATGCACCACTAGACTGGGACACAGGGGGTGAACATCTCATCTCTAGCATTCTAATAGAAATGGTGATTCTGTAGAATGGAGCAGTCTAAGTTCACTCAGAATGGCATATTCCACCCATGAGTGCAGTGCTCAACAGTAGACACTGGGACAGCAGACAGGGAATTAGCTGGGCACCACCAGTCCGGGGACAGAGAGCTCAGGCTTTCCTCAAATTAGCCTAGAAAACTGTAAATGGCTCCTATTGACATACAGTTTTTGATTTAAGTAAATTTTAACTGATAGAGAAAAACTGTACATACTAATGGAGTACCTTACAATGTTTCAGTATGTATAATATGTAAATCAGGTAAAAACATCATGTCTTCAAATATTATCTTTTTTATGGTGAAAATTTTGAAACTACTTACTTCGAAATGCACTATATATATAACTATCATCTCTAAGCACCCTACTATCCAAAACCACACCAGAATGCCTTCATCTTCCTAGCTATGAATACAGTTTTATTAAGGGGATTTAACAGTCTTTTGTACTTTGTACTTGCTGGGGGTGTAGAAGTAGCATACTCAAGATGCAGAGCAAGTACTTCCCAAGACCATCCCTAGCTGGAAGAGCGTCAAAAGACCAAATTGTATCTGAGCTCCAGTAAGATACAGAAAGTTACAAAACTCTTAAGAGATTAGCTGGCAAATAGCAACTTGAAGGAAGGGCATGGAATAAATGAGATACTTACAAAAATGTATCCAGTACTTCAGAAAGTTACAGTACAATTACTAAAAAGCATCTTTAATTTGAAACAAATGTTACAGATTAACAGTAATATAGACTTTCAAGCAAGACGTGTATTTTATATTCTCTCAGGTTTTGCACTGTCTCTTCCCATGTGCATGGAACATGTGTACCATGCATCAAGGCATATCAAACTGTCTTAGGCCATCAGAACCAGGAAGCAAACAGAGAGTAAATAGATTTAAGATTAGAGAGGTCTGAGGGACTGCCACGTGTTGCTTAACTAAATAGGGGCCTGAGCTATCAGATTCTTTGTTCTAATCTGTACTGCCTTTCATGAGAAAAATGGCTTTTGTTGTTCCCTTTTGGGATCAGCCAGCACATGAATAAAATATCTAATACAAACAAGAAATAAAGAAGCTAGCTCACATTAGCTTTTATCCAAGTTACTGTTATTAATTAGCTGAAAATTAAGTCTTATCTACTTATTTTCTAATAATCTCTCTAAGACAGATGATCTTAGTACAAGACTGAAATATGGATCTTTACTTCCAAGCCCATGATATGGTTGTAAAGAATACCCTTTATAGAACCTGTTTTCATGTGATCTGGCCAAGGTAGGAAAATGCTGCTACCGGAACAATGAAAACATACAATTGTTTTTGTAGTGAGCAAACAGTGGACTTTCTATTTTTTCCATCCTTAAATGACTGGCAGAGGATTAAGCCACTGGCCCTAAGTGATGCCCCTGGCTAAGTAAAAATAACTGCTCCAGGGACCCCTTCTTTCGAGGATGCCAGGCTACACTCAGCAGCACACTGTATACATTAGTAACCTAAGAGACACAGAAGCATATGTAGGTGGGAGAGAATAAATTCAGAAGTACATTTCTAAATGACCAAAATGCCAAATATATATGGGTATATTTCATTCTCAATAAGTCTCAAGAAAGTTGTTCCACACAAACTCTTATTACTAAATTTCAAAATCTGTTAGATATCTTGAGAGAATTAAGCACCAATAGATAAGAATTTCTGGGAAGGTACACACTGATTAAAATAATTTTAAAACCTAATTGCCCTTATATAATTTGAAGGTTCAAATCAGGAGGGGGAACATGTTCTACAGCGCCACCTCCTGGTAAGTGGTAAGTCGGAAGCAAGTCCCAGGCAAAGCAGGCCAAGGGTGGCGGACACTTAACAAAAGGTCAAGACAATGGAGCAATGGAGACATAGGGCACCAGCCCTTCTGAACTACATCGTGAGCCCAAAGACAACCATAAGCCCTCTTCCTCAAAAGCTTTCCCAATTAGTAAATGTGAAAAAGGGTTTTTCTGGCCCTAACTGCCCACACAAATAACATTTTAAATGCAAGTTAAAGGTAAGATACCCAATTACTCCTTTCTCTTGTATTCTAGGGAATAAAACTGAATATAAAATGACTCTACTGTCTCATTTCTCAATTGAGCTGAAGAAAATTAAAAGCAGAAGCCTACTTTAAAATATTTGTTTCCAAAAGGTGTGCTTTACAGTACTGAATCCTATCTCCCATTCCCCACCATACTTTTACATTAAAATCTAAGAACTAGAGTCATGTGACCAATGTTACCGCTGACATCAGAGTCTCAATGTAAAAAACTTAGTGCGTACACGTTTCAAAGTAAAATTTACTAATGTGCTATTTGAAGCACATTTTAGCCAAAGGCCAATCAGTTAAGGACAGAAGCACAGGTTTCTGCAATGACCTGTACTATATGCACCATGGTCAACGCTGGAAGAAAACTTGATAAACCAGTTCAATTCCCAACCCCTATAGGATACCGCGTAATCTATTTAGGAGCCCAAGATTCAAGCAGTGCAGTGTAATGATGAGCAACAGAAAACCTAGATTCTAGACTGTGTTCTTCCTCCTACCTGCATTTCCAAAGGCTGAACAAGATAACCTGTAAGCATTAATCCTCTCACCTTATGTAACTAGAAGGTCACAGCAATGTCATTGTGATCTGCACCTAGGAACTAACTCCCCAGCAGTCACAGCTGGTTTGCATGTCACAATGTCCCTACCTCGGTGACCACATGAAGTTAACTTTTCTTTCAGTACCCTGTTTGTCTTTCAGCTGTACCCTGCCATGAGAAAGCAGCACACAGAACCACACTTCTCACTGTGAGGTAACTGTGTGGCACAATGGAACAATCTTAGTTTCTACCGCTGGTGCCTTCCCCCTCACCCAGTCAGAACTCAGGATTTACTTAAAATAATGGCCTGGGAAGAGTAATCCACTCTACCTAATGAAGGCTGGGATTTGGGGGCAGGGGTTAGAATGCAGGTATTTCATTCACAGATTGTGTTCCATTATAGTTATGGAATCAGTATATTAAAATATTGACAACTGAAGATGCTTGTGTTTACTCTAAAATGTGAGCAATATGACATAATAAGTTACTATACAGTCTAGCATTTTCTAAACCTATCAGCTGACTGTTACAACAGTTCATTTATTGTAAGGGTAGGAAAATGAAACACTCTCTGTACTGATTCATACCAATGACAGGCCTCACAAGTGACTTCCTTGGATACAATCAGTTTTCTACTCAAGGGTTTTGTAAAGGATAAAATTATAAGAAGGACTGGGGGTGTTACTCAGTGGGTAGAGCGCTTCCCAAGCAATCACAAAGCTCCCAGGACAGCAGCAAAGAAGACACATTTCTCTAGTAAACAGCTAAGGAAACTCAACACTAAAACCTTGCTCATTAGCTTTCGCTTTGGTACCTAAACATGCAGTGGGCTCTTCTCATTCCTATAGTTCATGTCTATAATCACAGCCATCAGAAGCAGTGGCGGCGGCGCCTGCGGGAGATTAGCTGACTTTGGGGCTAGGGAACCAGAGCATCATTTTTACCTGTACTAAAGGTGAATTAATCACTACAGTGGCCTTGAACTTCGAACTGCGTACACAGAGTTCTTTCCATTAAGAACACAAAATTAGTTCTCAGAACGTTAATGTGTACAAAGGATTTAACTGCACTGCCTTCCCCATTTACATTGTTCATTCACTTTTCTCATCAAATATTTATTGAGCACCTATTATGGAACAGAACTATTATGAACAGGAGCGCTGCATGCATTTAGATAATTAAGACGTAAGTGCTATAAAGAAAACCCAGTTACCTCATCTATTTTCCTGACATACAATATAACCATCCGATGTATTTTCCGACATATAATAATGGCCTGAACGTAGACCGTGGCGCAGAATCTAAATCATTTCTAGTGAAACTGAGAGCTCACATGTGTATTCCAGTTCCAATATTCTAAATATGAGTCAAAGGAAATATAAAAGAAACCGAGAACCGATGAAATATGACACGAAACAGATTTAAAACATCTGTTCTCCACTGCCAGCTAAGCACATGGAGAATAAAGGTGAATACCCAGTCTTTTTTTTTCTTTTTTTGAGAAAAGGAGAAGACACACACACTCACAAACCGTATAGTACTTTATGACACCCCTTCATATTTAAAAAGGCAAACACAAGACATGTTAAGAAAACTAAACAAAACTCCATAATTTTCAAGAACGATGTATCCACTCCCACCCCCGCCCCCGAATACACTCCTCCAAGCTGCTCCTCAACGCTACAGAGCGGGCAGGAACTTACTTTCCCTGACTTTGGCTCAGGGTCAAGCGCCCCGAAATCTGCAAGGAGAAGATAAACGGTCCTCCACGCCCAGCTTCCACTGGGAAAGACAAGGAGGACCGCGCAATGACCTCGGGCAGCTTGAGACCCGATGGCGGTGCTGGGGTCCCCTCTGGCCGAGCCCCACTTCTCCACCTCCCCGCCTGGTGAGCGCGGCCTCGCCCCGCGCACCGGAGCAACGCAGAGGATGGAGAGGCTCGGCGGACCCGCAACCAGACCAGACCTACAGCGCCCACCCTGCTCCCTCCCGCCGCCCGGGCCCTGCTGAGGGGACTCTGACCTCTCCGAGCCCCGGGGCTGCTGCTGCTCCCGCTGCTACCCGTGCTCGGGCTACCGCTGCCCGAGCCGCTGCCGCTGCTGCTGCTACTGCTGTGGCCGCCGCCGCCCTTGGCGTTCTTGCGCGGGGCCATCGCGAGCTTCTCGAGAGGACTGCAGAGGACCGGGGCCTTGCTGAGTGCACTAGGGACACCGGAGATCCGCGACTCCTGCAGCAACGCCTCCGCCTTCACCGCGCTCGCCGCGCCTCGGAAGACTTGCACCAGCGTGTGGCTGCAAGGCGAGAATCGCGTGCGCCCAGCTTGCGACTCCCTGGGTGGACAAGAGCGCACAACTACCCCGGCCTCGGCCCCGCCCCCGCCAGCCTCGGCCCACCCACCAGATCTGAAGGATAGCAATACGAGCCAATCGCGAGAACCACTGACCGGGGGCGGGGCCGCCTACGCTCCCCAGCCATCCGCAGGTCGAAGCAAGTCAGGCGCTGCGCAGCGGCTGCAAAGCCGGAGAGGCATGTGGCTTTTTAGTCTGCTTTGGTCCTCTGGAACGTGGCAAACGTGGAAGCCGGCAGGGCTCTCGCGAGCGTTGCCGCTCCAGCTCCAACGGGATGGGGCGGGCATGGGGGCGGTGCCCGAGAGCAGCGCACCACCTCTTGGCTTCTTCCTAGGAATTTGGTTCCGGTGCCTAAGCACGCACCAGGAGTTCAAGCGTTTTCTTCAAAAAGGAGACGCCACGGTTCCCTAAGTACACTATGGTCGTTGATCCTTTCGGTGTCAAAACAGGGGTCTATGCCATTTGTGCCAAGAGTGTTTTTGGAAAGCCTTAGTTAAGACATTAAAAAATGTTAATATGACTCAAAAACCCCATTTTCTTACCAGGCAGGACACTGATATCTGCCCCGAAATCTACCCCCGCCAGACTAATACCTGGAGTTACTGGAAGTGCCCAGCCATGGATCGCCTCCTGTGCTACCTGCAGATGGAGAACTGGGTATTTTAATTTTTTTTTTTTTTAATGGCAGCATTTAGGCAAACCAGCTAAGGACCATCATGATTTTTTTTGTTTCACCAATTGCTCACGTTGTGTCTGTGGAATATGTGGTGATCTGATATATCGCTGTCAACTTCCAGAGATACTCCCCGAGTTCTGGACCACCTTGTACCCCGCTTGCAGTAGAGCCAGAGAAGCCACAACTTTGGGACGCCCAGTTTTATTCCCCTTTTGCAGCTTGTAGTTTCCTCAGCCACCACCAACTGTTTTGGGTCCCTGACCTCTGCCTTGTCATCTGTGAATGGCTGGGGACTGCCCAAGTCAAGTGTGGAACCCAACCAGGCCAGCGTAGCAGAACAGCAGAAAGGAGGCCTCCTTTTCATATAGCTATGAGATGGGGCAGCAGTCCGTCTTCACTGCATCTCTATCTCTCAGCCTCCCTCTGCCTCCTTTCTTCTCTCTTGGGCGCCCCTCACTGCCCGCAGAGGACATTATTTCAGCAGGAAATAATGATGGGGAGAAGCTGAGAGACAAATCTGATTCATATCACTTAATGTAAGATACTGAAATCTAAACTACAGTTGAAAAATAAGACTTGTTTCCCAAGATAAAACTCTTAGATTCTCACAAAACAGTATTACAGAACTTATGTTTTGGGAGATCTAAAATATCACCCACAAATGTTTTAAACCCTTATTCCCCCCTGGTGATGCTGATTGCAGAAACTGGGGAGTCTTCAGGAGGTGGGACCTGGCTGCTCAAATAGGTCACTAGGAGCAGACCTTGGAAGGTCGTTTTATTAGTCCAGGCTCTGCTCTTCTGCTGTCATAGGCTCCCACTGCTTCTACTGTTATGACTTCCCTCACCATAATAAAGTTTCTCTGGAACTGTGAGCCAAAGTCACCTTTTTCTCCCTCAGTTTATTTCCTTTGGGTATTCACAGCAATGCAAAAGTTACGGATCCAATAAAGTTACAGAGCTGGTGATGGAGAGGTATTCCTGCATTCGGAATTAATTACCTTCAAATTACTCTTCCTACACAAGGCCCAGCATTCAGTAGAGAATACTTCACCTGACTCCCCACTTCCTGGAGCAAAGGCTTCTGGGATCATCTACACCCTCCCTGAAAAAACAGATTGGAACCTGAGTGTGGGCCCTCATCAAAGGTCACAGTTTGGGAAAATCAGATTTCTGTAGCAGCTGTCTCCAAGAGGCCGGAAAGGGAGGCTTTGTCCCCACATTCCCAGAAACTAAAGCTGGTGTTGTCTCTAGCAATAAGGACATAGTCACATCTCCACTCCATTTCCCTTGGGAGCCAGAAGGGCCCCCTTTCCTTTAGAGATCTCCATTCAAGCATACTAGGATTCCTGACTTCACTACAGCAAGTAATTTCAGGATGAGCCAATAAGAACAAAGTTAGAGATTTTATTAAAAGAAAGTTTTAATGTAGATCTTAAGCAGAAGGCTTATTAGAAAGAAAGATACTACAGAGAGAGAGAAATAAAGCACACCCAATAAGACAAGTCCACACTCTAAAAGACAGATGAAATTTGGTTTCTTTACAATGGTGTCTATGAATTAGGTTTCCAATGGGACAAACAGCTGAGGTGCCTATTAAACATCCCAAAGCAGACGCTTGGCAGCCAGGTTCTCCGGGCATCCCTCAGTCGCTACCTCTTACAGAGCCTTCCTAGCTGGCATACCCGCCCCCTACGCTAAACTTCTCCAGCCCAAGGACTGGACTGCCCTCCCCCCAGCTGCCCGTCCCTATATAATCCAACCATTTTGGTTACCTGCCCTTTTGTCTACTCTATTTGGGCCTCCTGGCTTCCGTACCTGGTTCCCCTCTTTCCCCTTTGCCCTTGCTCCATCTCCTCACATGGCTCAGAGACATGTCCACTCTGGGCTCTCCCAGATGTCCCTGCCTCTGGCTGTGCTTACCACATATCTATAATAAACCTTCTCCTCCACCATACCTAGGATCAATCATATCCTTTCCTTTCTATTTCTTTCTTCATTCAATATGAGATTTGTGTAGCTCTCAAGTTACATCTAGAGGTTGCTAAGAAACCACTCCCTTTCTTTTTAACATTGGTCAAAGACTGTAATTTGTAACAGGATTAAAAGCTAAAGAATTTCTCTTAATAACAAAGTTTTACAGTGCATTTATGAGGGGCATCATCTAGGTCTAGGAGAGGGCAGTGCTAGGATGTTGTAGAATATTATTTTAAATAGGCAAAGATGTGTTACATTTGTTTATGCTGCAGAATATTACTCTAACTGTAAAGGTGTGTTACTTGTATTTATGTTACGATTCCATTAGGCATACTGCACACAAACAAGGGCATTTCCTAAGCAGCAGGTTAAAGTAGAGCTAGTTAGTAAGGAGCCTTAACTACTGGCCAAGAATTTATAAGTAATATTAAGCCTCTGTGTGGTAATTTGGGGAGCATCTGCTGGATATTTGGGAGTTGCTGGTAGGACAGAAACTTCTACCTACAATTTATCTCGCTGCCTGGCAGCCCTGCCTATCCTTTCTCATGCCTAGCTATTGACCAATAAGCTCTTTATTAGACCACTCAGGTGCATTAGGCAGGCAAGGTAAAACAGTTTTTCATAATTAACAAATGCCCTTGTTTGTGTGCAGTATGCCTAATGGAAACATGATTATTACAAACCTAGATGAGTATTCTTTTGTAACTAGAGTTTTCCTGGTTCTGCCTGGTCCACAGTCAGGACAAATCTCTCTCACCTGCTAGTCCTGCAGCCACTCAGATCCATCTGAGTAAACACACAGAGACTTATATTGCTTATAAACTGTATGGCCATGACAGGTTTCTTGTTATCTAGTTCTTCTATCTTAAATTAACCCATTTCTATTAGTCTATAAGTTGCCACATGGCTTGTGGCTTACCAGTATCTTTACATGTTGCTTGTCATAGCGGCAGCTGGCAGTGTCCCTGACTCAACCTTCCACTTCCCAGAATTCTCTTTTCTGCTTGTCCCACCTATACTTCCTGCCTGGCTACTGGCCAATCAGCATTTTATTTATACAGAGCGATATCCACAGTATTCTTTCATCTTCTTTAATATAGCAAATTGATCTATAATGAGGGAATGAATTTCAACTGCTCATCATGCATTTGTATATTTTCATATCATGGTATGGAAGGTGTTAGTTACTCTGAGAGCCATAATCATAAAGACAAGTATTATTTTAAATTTCTGTAATGTTTTACTAATCCTTGAGGATTTATAATGTATAAAATGTGTTTTGATTATATTCAAACCTCTTTCTCCCCTGACTCCTTCCAGATCCACCCCCTACAAACCCACCTTCTCCCAACTCCATGAATTCTACTTTGTTTCATTCATAGCCCACTGAGTCCATTTGTGCTACCCATGTGCTCACGAGTGTGAGGTCATCTCCACATGGTTGAGGTGGTCATCTCCACATGGGAGCATGCTTGACCTTACTAGGAGCCATACCCTTAAAGAAAGCTGACTCTCTCTTTTCCCCCCAAAAGGCCTCAACTGAGGCTAGCCCCCAGTTAGTGTTGGGGACTCATAAGCCTCTCCCCTTTCTGTGCTGGAATGTTGACTATCCTGGTCCTGTGCAGGTCTTGTGTGGGCAACCATAGCTACCATGAGTTCATGAATGCAGAGGTCTTACGTCCAGAAGGTGTCATTTTGCTCCAGTCCTCAAGTCCTTTGATTGTCCCAACCCTTCTGCCTCTTCATCTTCTGTGTTTGATCTTTGGCCGTGAGGGGTGAGATAGATACTCATGTGTGGCTGAGCACCAGATGGCTACTCGTTTTTCTGCACTTTGACAGTTGGTTCTGTCCTAACCACACAGACTTCTGTGATGTGTGAGCTGCACTAAATACGGGTCTACACAGGAGCACTTTTAAAGCTTTCTCTACTCAGAGTCTTCCCAAAACAATTTCTCCCCTACTAGTTATAGTTCAACAAGTTAGTGAAGTGTCATTTGCAACAAAAACTTGACTCTTGTTACTGCAGACAAGATAAGCTTCTAAGTCACTTCCTCATGAAAAACATTTAAGTACTTATTATTGCTAGGAAATTGATAGAATTAACATACTACTCTTAAGTCTTAAACTTAAAGCTGCATAGAGTCTAACACATGGGGGAAAAATCCAAGTGTTGGGAAATAACAGTTAATTTCAATCATAGCAATATGAGATGTATAAAAAGAAGTATTCTCCTATTTAGATGGAGTTTTAAAAAAGTAACTGAGATGTAGAAAATAATGTGGAGAAATTGAAGAATTCAACTTGCCAGGTAACGTTACTAAAAAAAATACAGTTTTGTGTGTTGAGGATCTACTAAGCCCCACCCCCCATGAGTATGTGTGTGTCTTTCATGAAACCATCATTCTCTAAGAAACAGGTCTCAGATCCAGAGGGAAGTATCCTGAAATGAGCATTAAGGATCTTCCAGGTTCATAAAGTCTAACTATATAAAGTAATTGATTTTTCCTTACAATGAAGACAGTTGTTGCAGTCGACTTAATCCTTGGTAGTTCATGGGAAAGTATGTATAAGTTACATAACATT